GTCTCCCCCCTGGGGTGCCTGTCCAGTCTGGGTGAGGGGCTGAGGGCTGTTTTCAGGCTGGCGGGCGACTGACGCTCCCAGCCTCTCCTTTTTTTCTTTTTTTTTAATTCTGGGATTTATTTACCTTCTATAATTGAAACATTGTTGCCATCACTGGTGCTCCCAGCTCTGAGGCTGTGGCTGGCTGAAAGCAGGTATCTGGGGTTTGGTTAGCTTCTGTAATTGAAACATTGTTTCTTTCAGGCTCAGAGCCAGGCTGCAGCAGGCGGGGAACCTTGGCTTCCTCCATCACTGGAGCAAGCAAACCTCCTGCTCGTTTCAGCTGCATGGCTTCTGGCTGCCATCTTTGTTGGCAGTTAATTTGCATATTGCCCTGATTAGCCAATGGGAAGCATAGCGGAGGCATGGTTAATTACCTTTTTTGTCTTTTATTAGATAGGAAGGATATTCCTCTCTCTCTCCCTCTCCTCCCTTCCTTTCTGAAATCAACATTTATATATATGTGTGTGTGTGTGTGTGTGTGTGTGTGTGTATATGTGTATATATATACGTATATATATACACATATATATCACAATGGAAATGGCAATGTGTTGACTTTTAAAAGAATTTCAGTTTGTGTAATATTATTTTTAATATTTTAGGATATAAAAGCTAATCCTGAGCTTACTGTACTACAGACTCTGCTTGCTGAATGCCAAGAAAAGCTTAAGAAACTGACTCAGATAGAGTGCAGATTAAATTCTTTAGAAGAAAAAATGAAAGGAAAAGTGATGGTAGATGAAAAAACCTGGACCAATCTAATAAGTCGTGTCACTCTTCTTGAAACAGAATTGCTTTTGTCCAAAAAGGTATTTTCTTTCCTTAGTATTTATAGGATATCTCAGATACAGTGTATTTTTTATTTATTATTGTGTTTATTCCTTTGGAAATGCTAAATAAGAGGATATTTGGATAATGGGAAATGTTTGGTGGGAATGAAGTTCTATTTAGACATGGCCTGTTTTATTGCCATTGTCAAGGCTATTGTTTTTCTCTACATCAAATAAGATAATTTGATAAACCTACCACTTGAGCTTTTAGAGCTATTAGTACTTAAAGTATTTTAAAATAAGGTAAAATAATGTTTGCTTTTGTTTTTAAAAAGCTTGAAATTATTTCATATCCTGTCATAGTACAAATGGCCTATTTTTTACAAGAAAAAGTTGCCAGGAGAGGACCAATTGAAATTAGAACTTCCTTTTCTTACTCATTTACTTCAATCAAATTGTAAATTTTATAGATAGTCACCAAATTTGCCATTGTTTCATCTAATCTGAGCAACTTTTTCTTGGTTTACTCAGGATCTTAATTTCTGGTCCTAGTCTATCCTTCCTAAAAAGTAAAGTTAGTAGATTCAAGAAGGTTACTATCTGATTCCAACATTTAAAATATTTCTTATTCTTAGGAATACTTATATATTGCTTTATAAATAAAATACTTAAATATTTAAACATTTATTATGTCAACTTTATATTTTATGCTTAGTAGTAATAATGTAAAATAAGAATGTTTTTCTTTTCATTTCATTCTAAATACTAAACTATATTATTCCAGAATGATAACTATTTTTACTATGATGAAATGAATGAAGACTGTGCTTCTGGTAGTAGCAGGAATATTCTGAAACTTGGTAAGTTCTTATGGTAGTAGTATTGGCAGTATAGCGTTGCATTGGATTATAGTATATATAAAATGTGCATATGTGTTTCAAACCTTAAAGGTCTCTTGATCAACAGTTTAGAAAAATAATTTTAATATGTGTCTGGTAATTTTAATATTCCCAAGCCTTCTATTTTAGAAACTGCAAAGCTCTTAGGAACAAAGAAAATATAAACTTACAGACTACTGAGGCCAAGGATTGCTAAAGAAGCCAGCTTACATATCTTATGTGACATAGTGATTGAATAAATTTTAATGTACAGAATTGCAACCTTTTAGAGATTTGTACCCCTTTAATTGCTAAGTGCTATCTATAATAATAAAAGTGTAATATGCAAATCGACTGAACCACTGAACAGCAGAATGACCGTCTGGACGACCTTCTGGACAACCATGCTATGACACCCACTGGTGCCAGGCCAGCTAAGGCGGGTGTGATGGGTCAGGGGCCTGGCCATCGCCCCATGATCACCCTGCAGAGGGAAGCCCAGGCCACTGGCTGGTGGGGCGATCTATAAGTAGGGGGGCTCCATGATTGCTCCAAAGAGGGAGGCCCAAACTACCCTATGGCAATGCTGTGGCTGGTGGGCAGGGCCTACCTCTTTGGGGCTATTGATTGCGGGGCTCCTGGACTGTGAGAGGGCACAGACTGGGCTGAGAGCCGCCCCTCCCCTCCCCCCCCCAAGTGCATGAATTTCGTGCACTGGCATTTACTAGAATAATAAAAATGTATCTCCAAGTTTCTAATTTATGCTTAAGCAGCTGCTTTGCATATGTGATAATATGTGCAAGAGAATAAAACACATTTGTCAGTAACCTGTAAACAGCATACAGCCTGCTAAAAGTGAGATGTAGCTAGTCTTCAACATTGTGCCATGTTACCTTGACCTGAGCTCAAATAAATAGATCAAGAGTAGGTACTTGATCTAAGGAATACCAGTACAAAATGTGTTGAGCCAAATCATTTCGTCTCCCTTGGAAATTTGGAATTAGGACACCAGGGATAATATCCTATCTAATAAAAGAGTAATATGTAAATCAACTGTTACTCTGCAACAAAGATGGCGGTACCCATAGTGGCCAAGGTGGGATGCTGGAGGCGTTGCCCCAGCAACACAAGCCCAGTGTCCCCGCCCTGCCGTGCGGAGGGAAGAGAGGGGCCTCGGGCTGGAGGCCAGTGCCAGGGATGCTGGTGTCATTGCAGGTCGGGCTGAGGGACACCCGCATGCACGAATTTTGTGCACTGGGCCTCTAGTCTATATCATAAAGGCCTGTGGTCATGACAGCTGGTCACCAGGAGGTGCATGGAGCTTGCGTGGCGAGGTAGGGCTCACGTGGGGCTGGTGCAGCAGAGGCGGGGCCCGCAGCTCGCGCAGGGTGGGTCTGGGGTCTCTCGGCTTGCACAGGGCAGGTCTGGGTGTCGTGCGATTTTGCACGCTGGGCCTCTAGTCCTATCTAATAAAAAAGTAATATGCAAATTGACCATCACTCCAACACACAAGATGGCTGCCACAAGATGACTGGCATGGCAGGGCAGTTGTGGGCGATCAGGCCAGCAGGGGAGGGCAGTTGGGAGGGACCAGACCTGAAAGTGAGGACAGTTGGGGCCAATCAGGCCTGCAGGGGAGGACAGTTGCGGGGACCCAGGCCTGCAGGGGATGGCAGTTGGGGGCAACCAGGCTGGCAAGGGAAGACAGTTAGGGGTTCCGGGCCTTCAGGGAAGGGCAGTTGGGAGCTACCAGGCCTTCAGGGGAGGGCAGTTGGGAGAAACCAGGCTGGCAAGGGAGGGCAATTAGGGGTGACCAGGCCTGCAGAAAAGGACAGTTAGAGGCAACCAGGCCAGTAGGGAGGGCAGTTAGGGGTGACCAGGCTGGCAGGGGAGGGCAGTTAGGGGCAATCAGGCCAGCAGGGGAGCAGTTAGGCATCGATCAGGCTGGCAGGGGAGTGGTTAGGGGTGATCAGGCTGGCAGGCAGAAGCAGTTAGGGGCAATCAGGCAGGCAGGCCTGGGACATACCAGTGCATGAATTTTGTGCACTGGGACTCTAGTATCAAATAATGTTAATCCTGGACTGGGCATTTTGTCCAAATTCATGCTGATGAGTAAGCAGAGGAATCGGCAAGAAAAATAGTCAGAAGACACTGCTCTGTGAGAGAAGAAAGTAAAAGTCTTTTTAATTGTTTCAGTCCTCATGTGGTAATACTTTATTCTCTAATTGAGGTCGCCTGTATAGGCTTATAATAAAACTATTTAATTTTTTTTCTGGCCTTGTTTTTGCAGCAAAATGGTACTCAAACCTGTTGATTGATTTGACAGGAACATGTCTTATCTGTGATGATCTGTAATTTATTCCGTTGTAGAGAGGATTTGCCATGATTTAGTAGCTTATATTTAAAAATAAATCAACTTGCCTATTATTCAATTGATTGTTATCATGACAGAGGTAATATTGCCTTTTGTAATTATTATTGGCCAGTTTTTAACATCTAGGTCTTTATATGTAGGTCATTATCTTAGAAGAATATTAAAAACTCATCTGCATACCAGTAACCATTTTATATTAAAACTAGAGGTCCGGTGCACAAAATTTGTGCACGGGTAGGGTCTCTAGGCCTGGTCGGTGATCAAGGCCGAGCAGGTTGCCCGCCTCCCCACCTCCTCCTTCCCTCGCCACCTGCGCACTGCCACCACGCAGTTCCGCCCACCTCCCTGTCTCCTCCTTCCCTCGCTTCCTCAGTGCCCTGCTGCCACTGGTTGCCCACCATGTTCTGAGCTGCCTCCTGGTCGTCAGTGCACGTTATAGCAAGCAATCGAACTCCCGACGGGACACTTTGCATATTAGCCTTTTATATATATATATAGATGTTTATTTTTCTTTCACATATAAATAAAATTTTTAGATATTTGACTCCACTGTGAAAGGAAAAGATAACCTGAAAAATTGATTTCTCCACAGATAACAGATGCAAAGAGAAGGAAGTAGGTATTCCTCTGACTTCCTGTTATAGAACAACATCTAGAGACTCAACTCCCAGAACCTCAACTCTTAATTACTGTGGTCTGAAAGAAATTTCAGAGGTAAGAAAAACTGGCAACTTGCTTAGATGATTTACTTTCGAGGGTCAGGAGAACAAGCAAGCATTAGGTTTAGTTGTAGATGCCATTGGCAAGAAAAATAGTGAAACCATGCAAATCTTAATCTCTCATAAAAATTCTTTGTGATAAGTAAACAGTACTTAATGCAATGTTTTAGTCTGTGTTTTATATGTTCACAGTCCATCTTTGATGATGGTTTATTTTGAGAAATTGCCTAAATTTGTTGCTTTTTAAATTAAAGGAAACAACAATCCAGAAAATGGAAAGGATGAAAAAAATGTAAGTAACAGAAAGGGGCAACAGAAATTCATTTCTCTATAGGGAATTGTATTGGATTACAGTATATGTAGAATGTGCATATGTGTTTCAAACCTTAAAGGTCTCTCAATCAGGTGTGGAATTTCCTTCAGGACTCAAGTGGATTATAAATCCTCCTACAGTTATGTGTTTGTGAGATGAGTCACTGTTTTGGTTTCCAACAAGTGATATAAAACATTGTTAGTGGAATTAATTGTAGATTAAAGAGTGCAGGAATATTTTTGGTTGATAGTTAATCAAGAGGATTACCTATTTTTGATAACCGATTTATCAAAATGTTAAATGATATGTGTAGATGGGCGGTTTGGAGACATTTTAAGCATTAAGTATTGCTAGTGTTTTTCAGAAAGTTATTGGTAAGGTAATAGTAAAAATGATACTTGTATCTAAAGTGCAGTTGAAAGGAAATATGAAATTATATTTAAGTTATTAGGTAGCCTACTATTTAAAAAACTATATTTCTTGAAATTTGAGAAGTACTGAAATAGCTTATGCTCCCAGAAATAATTGACTCCAATTGTTATTCCTCCCTTCTGACCATAGTATACTTAACTTATTAACAGTGACTATACTTGTAAAAAAGAGAAATGTTAAAATTTATTTTAGCTTAAATGCATAATTTTAGCAACTTAAAACCTATGCCTCATTATGATATTTATTTACTTAATGTATTACTTATTTTTCAGGTTTGAAGAAACTGCAGAGTTACTGAAAGGTTCAAATCACTCACTATAGAATTTTTCTACATGAACTTTTCCAGGACTTTGGCTACTGTATATGTTGTATATTTTAAGAATTCCCTATAAATTTTAATATACTGCAGTATTTTTGTTAAGAATTTTAATTCCATTTGGTATATGAGCTTTTTCATGCAATATTGAATAAATACTTAAATATTTTTGTGGTATGATTATATGCTTTTACTCTGTTTTACTTTTCCTAGGAAAACTTAGGTGCCAGTACACTTCTTTTACAGAGTGAACTCATTACAGCACTGTATTTTTGTGTTGACATTTGTTGGCAGTGTGCTAAGTAATATGTTTTTAAAACTGCAGGTTTCAGGACCATAGCTTACATCCTGTTGGAAACACTCCAACTGGAACTTGCATATTGTACCCAAGAGGCTGTCATACATACCATTTTGCCATCTGTACTGATGAATATGTTGTAATGAAAAGTTAAAAATGCTCATCGAAAATGAAATAAAACAAAACTACAACAATTTCATGCTCAGTGAAAAAGCAGCAACACATTTTCAGTTACCATTGAGAAAGCAAGGGCACGATTCCTCTTTCAGATTTAGAAGCAGGTCGGAAAGTTAACTGTGAAAAATGTGTTGAGGATTTTAGTGCTCTATTCTGTAACACATTTTAAGACCAGCAGCACAGACACAGATGGTGGCCGTCCAGTATTACAAGATACACAGTGAGGTATTTTTGTTTTTTTTAAGTGATGGGAAGTAATACATTTTTCTGAAGAGAGAAAAAGTTTTAGATAAAGTTAAGAGAAAAAATAAATTTTAGGTTACTAAATAAAATATTATTTTTTAACTTTATAAATAAAAATGCAATAATCATCCGGGGTATACTTCAAGAAAATTGATTCTATTATTTGAGAGGAAAAAGAATATTATTATTATTTAGTTCATCTGATTGTATATTATTTACCCATCTGTTTATATTATATGTGTGTAATTTGAAATTTGTCACATATTTAACATTAACATAAAGTTAAAATTCTAAGTAGAAATAACTTTTAAGAAAGCATTTTTAGTATTCTAATATATGCTTAGTCATTAGACTTTAAAATTATGAGCTTTTGAAGTTAGTATAAAACCTTGCAATTAGAAGAGTTTCAGTAAATATTTCTAGGGCAAATCCAATTAGCTTTATATTTTCAATTACAAAATAATTTTAAAAATCAGGTTTGGCCTGGCCAGTGTTGCTCAGAGGTTGAGCGTCAACCTGTGAACTAGGAGGGAATGGTTCAATTCTCAGTTAGGACACGTGCGGGTGTCGCGGGCTCCATCCCTAGTGTGGGGTGTGCAGGAGGCAGTAGATCAATGATTCTCTCTCATCATTGATGTTTCTATCTCTCCTCCTTTCCTCTCTGAAAGCAATAAAAATATATATTTTTAAAAATCAAGAGTTTAAAATAAAAATTACCAATTAACTTCTAAAACATTAGTACCAGCATGGAATTATAGCACCACCTTGTGGTTCATATGCCACATAAAATATATTTTACTAAAACAAGTGATTTCACATAAAATAATTTTTTTTTATTGATTGATTTGAGAGAGAGAGAGAGAGAGAGAGAGAGAGAGAGAGATAGGGGGAGAGAGAGAAGCATTGATTTGTTGTTCCACTGTTTATGCATTCATTGGTTGATTCTGGTATGTGCCTTGACTAAAGATTGAACTCAACCTTGCTGTGGAGAGGATACTCTAACCAACTGAGCTACACTGCCAGGGTGATTTCTCATAAAACATATGATCATATTTTTTCCTTTTGAAAATCCCAATTCAAAACTCAGCTCAATATCTTTTAAAAAGAAACATTTTGAAGTTTTCTTGTACAAAGACAGAAGAAAAAGTAAGTTTTTGTTTCTTCCTTCCCTCTTCTTTTTTTCTTTTTTTACCATTAAAAATTTTTTTTTCAATTATAGTTGACATTCAATATTTTCTTTTTTCCTTATATAGTGTACATTTACACACAGATGATTTGAAACTTTTTTCTGTAATCCTCACCCTAGGCCATGTTTTTATTGGTTTTAGAGAGAGCAAGAGGAAGGTA